GGGGGGGGGGGGGGGATGAACAGGAGGCCATAGCGCTGTTGACGGGTGCGCTCGGCGTAGGAGGAGTCGGTGTTCTGCTTGCTCAGTGGACGTAGGAGCTCGTTGAGCGAGCGAACAAGCAATAACCAAACAGGCTAGAGATGGGCGACAAGCAACCGGTCATACCGTAGTCCCTCACGATCCTGCTCGGTTCAGACGGGTTCAAGGAAGTGAAGCACGTTTTAAAGTGTAGGTCAGACCCATGGCTCATGCCTCTTCCACCGGATGCAGAGGACGGTAACCTACCTTCTTAAACCAGCAAATACCCTTGACCCAGCAAATACCATTAGAGTTGGTGATTCATACACAATAGGACGGGAGAGAGACTATCGGATGGTTGTGAACTAACTGTGGTCAGGCAGACAAGAACATTCGCCCCTGCATTGGGACAACCTCAGGGAGGCCAGTATGTTGCGCGGGATCGCAAGTGGGGTTTCCGGAACGGGCTCATTTAGGACGTAGCAAGCAACGTTAGAGGACCCAAGCCGTGCACTTATCACTGATGGATCTAGGGCGATCTCGCCTTGATGTAGCCCTGGCAGTAGCTTGTGATAGACATCTCTAGGCGAGCGGTTTGCGTACTTTTTTCGAGGGCGGTTCGTCCTCAGACGAATTTATTTCCGTTATCTCACCCGGTCTCCTGAGATCCCGTCTCTTGGGATGCAGGGGCACATCGAACTGCCAAGCTCTGCAAAGTGCAGAGGCCAGCTTTCGATCTACGTGCGCGTACTTGAAGAGGATTCTCATGATGCACTTGTCTTGTAACTGCTGCATTTGTAGTTTGCCCTCCTCGGGTACAATTTTACAGATTTTTGGTCTGATTATATTGATCATTTCGCTGAACCAGTGGTCTCCTAGTACTTTGTGGAATACATCCACAATGTCGTCATTTGAGGTAGGTGACCATGTCTTGCGGGTCAGATGGAATTTGCGCATTCCGGCTGCAATCCAATGCGCAGCTCGGGAAGTGAAAGCAATTAAGCGACTGGACATCTCCGACATCGGCAACTCGCCGAAGGTTTGGGGGAAATGATCACGGTAAACTGTTATGCGGAGTAACCACCATTGTGGCGGTGCTTTCACCCAGGTTGTTCTCAGACAGGTCTGCATCTGACAGGCCAAGTACCATAATGGTGACACATGTTTTGGCCGAGGCACAATCTTTTCACTATCGGCAATTAAATTGTGAAGCTCATTCGGCTCCAAGTAGTCATTCATCAATCCCACCAGACATAACCATCGCCATCCACAGGAGCCGTAAGGGCTCTTCGCTCTCCGGTCCCTTTTTTCTGACCTCTCTACGGAGGGCAAGGCAGCCCGAAAGTTCTGGAAGCCAAGTTCTGCTAGACTCAGCTTCTCCCCTGGCGTTTGACCTACTCCCTCGCCTCTCTCTTTGGTCGCACACTCTTCAAGCACGCGGGCCACAAAGGCCGCCATCTCCGCCGCAACCGACCTATCCGGATCAACCTCTCTGTCGGGATCAACCGAGTTATTGGATGATGAACAAGCTGGCGCTGGACGGGAATTGGAGCCGGACGGAATGGAGAACCGAGGACAAGGGGTGGCCTCAGAACCACGGGCTGCCTCAGAACCACGGGCTGCCTCAGAACCACGGGCTGCCTCAGAACCACGGGCTGCCTTAATAGTACTGCTCGAAGTAAGGCTCGGTCTTATCTGTTTCGGCGGAGTCGTCTCGATATATTTGAGGAAGCAAGCCAGGTAGTCTAGATTCGATAACTCCAAAGAGGACGGTGGCGGTATTACATCCCTCATTGCCTTTACGGCTTCGTCAAATGTCCGCTCGCCCAAAGTACGTCGAACAGTGTAAAGCACCAGCGGCAACGCAGGTACCTCCCATGTTCCTTCGTCAACTTGAATATCTCGTTGTGCCCGACATATCCACCAGTCCAGCTTTGAAATAGCGCAAACGCGTCTTATACAACCCTCAGTCTCCGGTAGATGGACGACATCATCTGGGAAGGAGACCCGAAAAACCATTTTCCGGCAACTCCAGCCGCCCTGCGAAGCTATCGAAGGATGCATCCAGCTTGACAAAATCCCGGATGGAAGGAATCTCTGGAGCAGACCAGCCAGAAACCAGGTATCAGATAAACCGACGGGTCTAGGTACCAAATTCTCCACCTCTGCCATCAACTCAGTCAATGCACCGATCTCATGCTGCCGCTCTCGCATCAATAACGCAAGTTTTAACCATCGCCATGAGCAAGCCTCGAAATGAGCAATCGACAAATCGGTGATGGATCGATCTGCCTTACCATCTCGGCGTTTCAGCCCTCGAAGCAAAGCAGCCTCACCTAACCTCATAATCCTCACCTCCTCAAATAAACAGACAGCGGGCTTGACGCCCTTCTCCATCTCCAAGCACTCATTCAGAACCCGAGCCACCAAATTAGCGCCTGGTTTCATCAAGGCTTCTCTCGAGGACCCCAGTAAAGCCTCCTCTCTGGGCGACTCAGGTTTCCGTCCAATTAATGGTTCTAATGGGACCTTCTTCACAGGCCCTTGTCTTCCACAGCAGACTCCGTGGAAGTCTGCTGTGGAAGGCTCGGGCCAGGAATCAGGGACCTGAGGCAGCGGAACCACAGATTGCCCGTGGTACCGTGCGTGTGGCGTCTCTCCTTCGGCCACCAAATTCCAGCGCGCCATTGGTGGCGAAACCAACCCCGTCGTGTTTGGGCTCGTGCTTGCAACGTCGTGGGGTGCCCCTCCCACGGTCGGGGTCACCCCAAATGTAGCGATGGCTGTTATCAACTGGGTGTTCCGGGCAACACGACATATCCTCATACTGATCCAGAATTAATAATTCAAGTGAGTAGACCAAGTCAATTACGCCTGTTGGTAAGTACCCTGTTGGTGAGTCCCTCGTCCATAGGCCTCCTGTTTTGAGCAACCGTCACACCCGCATGCTATCCAGCTTTTTCCAAATAATGTGTCTTGACAACTGGCCGAAAAATGATTTTAGTCCCGTTTAAAGCCTCCTAGACAAAATTTACTGCTTCACTGGGAGAACCACGATGATACGCAGGTGACCAGTTCATGCATGACGTGTGAGAGCACGATCCGGTCATTGACATTCGGTCCCTCGTCCGTCCGTTACACACTTATTTCCTCCGGCAGTTCGTCGTCCTCAGAAGACCAGTGCGCATCGGTGATTTCATTGGATCTCCTGCGGGACAGAGACACATCAAATTGCCATGTTCTACAGAATGTCCAACAGTCCTTCCTACTCACTTTTGCGAATTTTAGGAGGATTTGCATGATGGAAGTATCTGGTAACCTCTGCATTTGCTCTGGGCCCTCATTAGGTGCAAGGATAGAGATTTCGGGTTTGATTATATTGATCATTTCGCTGAACAACCGGGCTCCTATCACCGATTGAAAGACATCAACAATATCGTCATATGAGGTAGTTGACCACGTGCTGTAGTTCGAGTGGAAGTTGCCGATCCCGGATGTGATCCAGCGTGCAGCTTTGGAACAGAAGGCAATCAAACGCACAGACGTCGCAGATGACGGCAACTCACCAAACGTTTCGGGAAAATGAGCACGGTAAACTACAGTTTTGAATGTCCACCATGTCGGTAATGCTTCCATGCCACCAGTGATACCGGCACCACCAGTGATACCGGCAACAACGTCAAGCCCTTTCAGAGAACCCTGCAATCGACAGGCCAAGTACCATAATGGTGACACATGTTTGGGCCGCGGCACAATCTTTTCACTATCTGAAATTATTTGGCGAAGCAACTCTGGCTCCAAGTAATCATTCATCAGTCCCACCAGATACAACCATCGCCACCTGCACCAGTTGAATGGGTCCGCTCTACGTTTGGAACCCTTCCCCGGGGCTGTCTTCTTTGCGCAAGACAATACTTTCTGAAAGTCTGACGCAATAAATCTGGCAGTACTCAGCTTCCCCGTATGAATTGATCTCTCGTTCCTCTCCCTCGCCACGCACTCTTCAAGCACTCGAGCCATAAAGGCCGCCATCTCCGCAATAGTCGACCGGGACGAGGAGGGCAGGGTATGAATAGTCCGTGAGCTCCGAGTAATCGGCGAGCTCCGAGTAGTCGGCGAGCTCTGAGTAGTCGGCGAGCTCTGAGTAGTCGGCGGTGTCTGAATCTCAATATACTTGAGTAAGCAAGCGTAAGGTCTTAGGAGTACCATCGTGCTACGGACCTGAGTTACGACGTAGGGTAGTGACCAAGTAGGACTGTATTTTTCCGCCGATGTGAGTGCAGGTGCTCCCGGGGTTTTACTCCACTGGCTCGTTACCACTACGTCTCCAATCTGCAGCGGCTCACCTGCGTATAGCGGTGGCTCTGTCGCAACCAATTGGTGTCTCATTGCAGACTGGATTTCGAGCAATCCTACTGCCTCGGAGGGGCTGTGCGTGTTGTAACGCAGCGTCCAACCGGGTATAGTCGGTTCTCGACCTGTTACGGCCGTCATCGGCGCTAAGCCTGTAGCGGCGTGCGGGGGCGCGTTTGCAGCGTTCATAACAAAAGTATTACGGGTGGATATCGTAAAGTCACCACCATACGTGCCAAGGAGCAACGGCATAAACGAAAGCAGTC